AAGGTTCCTATGAAAAAGAAAATGTGTTTAATGGAAATAGTCTTGAACTCTTTGATTTTTACCTTTGCATTTTGGCAACTGATTCTAGAAAAACTCCCAGCAATGACTTTGGGTGTGGTAGGGATTGCCTGTACAGGCTGGGGATCTGACTCCTCACTGTACCCATACAAGCCAGTTCTGTCCCTGGAGGAGCTGTGCAACCTGGACCTCTAACAATACATAGCTGCTTGGTAAATAGCTCATACAGGGGAGTTCTGACCTCAGGGCAGGGCCTCAGAAATGAGCCCCTTGTTCTGAACTTGGTAATGGATCTGCTGAACCCTAGCATGGTGTCTGGAAGATGCTGGGAACCACCTCATCCTCTCACAGGGCAGCATGATGGGGACCCTCCAGAATTTGGCCTGCTCTTATGCTCTGCAAGCATACAACTGCATATAGGCTTCCAAATGGATGTACCAGTACAGCCTCTTGGAAGAGAGACCAAGGGTACAGAAGGACCACACATGCCTGGGAGAAGCCTGCTCTCCCTGTTTTCTCCCCAACAGAGAATGTGATGTGCAGGGTAGAGCATGCTACTTTTCCCATTATGGTAATTGTTTTTTAGAAACTCAGAGCTCAGTGAGAAGAGGAGAGATAAGGCAGGACCAGGTTGGTGCACTGCAAAGCTGGTCTCTTGATTTAGTCAGCAGAAAACAGTTTTGTCACTTCTCTTGTGGACCCATACTTCCTATTGACTGCCAAATTCAACAGTCTGAATGAAGAAGAATGTGACCCAGGGTAGCTGAAGAATTTCTAAAGGATGACCAGGCATTTATCAGTAGTAAACTGGGCTGTGCAATTCTGGTAGGAGACCCTCTGGAATGGGTATCTAGGACAAGCCTTTAAAACCCAGCCTGGAACTCAGGAAAACTGAAACAAGTCCACATTTTCCATCTCAGCTTTGCCCCAGGTTGCACAGCATCTTTGGATAGCACAAAATACTTCTTTCCTCTTTCCCATTACTGATGATGATGTGAACAACACATTAAACCCTTCAGACTTGTCTTGACTAATTTTTTTTCCTAAAAGGATTAAAAAAGAAAAAAAATCTGTGACATCCACCAGAATCCAGAATAGTCTTATAAACACAGCCAAAACCAGGGCAGAGAAACTTGGGGTGCTCTGCTCAGCCTATGCTTTCCTACAACAGAGAGTATGAGGTCCCTGGTGAGTGCCCGAACTGTGCAATTTCTCATAGCACCTACTGCTGGCAAGCAAGGAGGATGGACTCGGCAGACAGAGGGAGGATAGCAGAAACCATGACCAAGACATTGGCTCTGCCATGTGCTTCTCAGGTCACAGGAAGTCATGCACATGGTCCAGCAACTGGGCTGGAGGCTGCCGAGGCCCGTGGTGCCCTCCTCATCTGGACTTAATGGCATTTTTCACCAGTTTGTGCTGAGATCCAAGGCCTGGCGTCCTGGAACTGTTGATCCTGACCAAGGCAGCCCTGTAGGGTGACACTATCCCTGCCTACTGAGGGGTCATCTACCCAGGGAGTGTCTGGGATAAAGGGGTGGGGTCTGGAGCCAGGATGCTTTGTGATCCCCAAAACCATTTACACAGAGCTCTCAGCAAGAGAGGCCCTAATGGAAAGGGTTGTTTCTGGTTTTCTTGTATGGCTATAGGATTCTGCAGGCATTTAGGGAGTTGAAACCATTCCCTTAATGTGTTTAATACAAAGAGCAGCTTTCTTGTTTAGGTCAAAAGCTGAACACTAACTCAATATTGCATTCAGGTTCACTCGAAGGCCTTTTCTGGAGGGTAATGCTCATTTTGCTCAAGCAGCCTGCACTTTCCCCCTGGCTAGAACTGAAGGCTGTGCCAAAATAATGGCATATGAGTTCACAGCTATTTCTAGAGGTCCTACGGTTCCTCATTCCCTCTAAAAGTATGGCCATAAACTATAAAATCAAAGTCCCTGAAAGAGAGGTGGTCTGGGATGGTCAGTCTGCCACATCCTAGAAATGACAAGCTCTCCTGAGAGGCCTCTTGTATAAATGCTTCCCAGCAGAATCCTGAGCAAGTACAACTTTCTGCAGCTCCCCTCAAACATCCGAGATGGAGATAGGCTAGGAACAACACATTTGGTCTTAGGCTCTAATTTTCATATTTTCCCATCATCTATGTGAATTTAAGCCCCAGGTGACTTCAGAAGGTTTAGGTTTAAGTCTTGAGCTGAATGACCATGGGGTTCCCAGCACCAATCCCACCCCCCGCCCCACAAGCACCCCAAAGTGTAAGGCTACTCAACTCATTTCCAGCCTATCTCCAGGCAAGGCCACTACAGAAGGGAACACACCTTCCATTTAATGAGCCACTTTTGGGAATGAAGATCTTCATTAGCCAAAAATAGCCCACGCTTGCATCTTTCTGTTTTAAGGCAACTTTACCCTCCTGTTTCTCAGCCAGAGAGCCCTAGGTCATGGACAGGAGACACAATTCAAATGCTCTCTTTGGAAACAGCAAACATCCCCTTTCCCTCACCCGTCCCTACCCCCCAACAAGAGAATAGAGTTAAGTCCTTTTCCCTTCCTACTTGCAGAGGTGGGGTACAGGGTCTTCCCCAGTGACTCTAGACAGATCATTAGGATCCCTGTCCCTCCCCAGGAGAAAGCCATGCTGCTTCCTTGGGCTAACACCTCATACCTTTGGAGACCTGTGGACGGTGATTGCACCAAAGGACTTTGGAATGAAAATTCCTGATCCTGGAATGTGAATTCCTGAGACATGAAATGTATTCAGAGTGTAGCATTCTTTGTCCCACAAGGAAACAACTTTGGGAGGGACTGCTGAGGGCTCACTCTGGAGGGGAGAATGGGGATCTCTGCACCCAGGGCTTTCCTATGTCTAGTTCCCTCCAGCACCCCACCCTTTCCTGAGCAGCGGCTATGCAGGGCTATCATTTCCCTTCTCCTCTCTAAACAGCAGGAACAATGCTGCTTCCCACAGTACCTATGGCGCTGTTCGGTCACCATCATGTCACAGCCAATTTCTGCATACAGGTGCAGTGCCAAAAACCACTACTTGTAGAAAGTAGCATCCTGAGTCGCTGCCATGAGGGGCTATAGGCCTTGGCTGTGTTTATGGTTTATGGGGTCTTCGCTGTGCTATGACAACCCCATGCTGTGGGTGACATTGCAGGGAGAGTCAGGGGTAAGCAGGACAACTTACAGCCAAGGCACTCCGAGCCCAGTAATCCATCTGAAGCTCTTCCTCCTCATTAAAATCAGCAGAAGTCCCTGCAAAATACCCGAGTCTATCTACACCCATTCCCAAACACACACATACATTCACACATACACTGAAGATGTGACTTAAAGGCCCTCATTCAGGAGGAGGCGTGGGGGGAGGAGCAGCCCTGCAGAGGGAGGAGCCTGGGGTCTAGGACCTCCTTTGGGGAATTGTCCTGGCTGGCTCTTTGTCTCTTTTAGTGAGAACCTGCATGGGATACACCAATCTTAACCTACTTCAAAGGCGCTCTGGTGGCTTAGTGGTAAGGATTTGCACTAGCAACCCAAAGGCAGGCAGTTTGAATCCACCAGCTGCTCTGGAAGGAAAGATGGGCAATCTCCTCCTGAGTGATTTACAGCTTTTGCAAACCACTGGACTTGTAGTCATTTCCCACTTGATGGCATATCACCACAACGACAATCTAGTTCACATCTGGGAAAGCAAGTGGGGAGAAGAGCTAAGAGGTGTCAAGCAGGTCAAGTCTAACCTGGTGACCTTATAAATCTAAGAAAAGTGCTTCCCATCACCTCCCATGTAACATCTTCAGGGGAGGAAAAAGACGCACTTTCTCAGTCAGTGTTTTCTTGACATCTGCTCCACTGCTGTGAAAGGTTCCAGGCCACAGTGTTCTTCCCTCTGGTAGAGACAGGATCTGCAGAGTACTGAGCAGGGATGTGTACCCTCTGCAGAAGTGGCTGACCTCAGCCTCTGCCACAGACAGGGGTCTCAGCAGTGGGGCTGCCCGAGGGTGGAACCACATGGAACACCATCATATATTTTTAGACCAGAATTCCCAGGTTGTATTTTCCAGTCAGAAAGCAAAACAGGAGGGACCCCGTCGCCTTCAGCAGGCACCACTTTTCCTTGCCCTGTGGTCTTGGCTGAGGTGTGTATGGATGACCCAGGCTGCTCTAATCTCTTCTTCCAGTTCTCTGAAGAGAGGGCTCCTGGGAGGCAGAGGTCCTGGATGCAGGGCGGCGGAACCCATGCAGGCGGACACTTCTGCAGTCTCCCACGAGAATGTCCCTACTGCTTGGCATGGCTTAAGGCATCCCTTTGAGAGGTCCTTTTCCTCAGAAACGTCTGTGTCCTGAGCCAGGCTGGCCCTCCAGTGCAGAGTTTGGAGGGTGGGCTGGAAGAGGCTAGGCAGCCTGGACGTGGGCACACAGGCTCTCTGGAATGACCAGGCAGCTGGTCTGCAGGGCAGATACCCCAGCTCAGGCCAGCACAGGTCTGTCTGATGTCCCAGCTACTCCTGAGCCCAACAGAAACCTCTCGAGTGCAAATCTATGTACAGAGTAAGGCGGCAGGAGGGGTGTTGTCACGGATCTGTGAAACATGTCCATCCCTGAGAAAGGGGTTCAACACCACTTAACGTCAACCTCACAGGCATTCTTATGGGTGCTGGGTTTGTGTTTTTGTTTTGTTTGTTTTTTTTAAAAACAACAACAACAACAACAACACCTTTTTTGTTGTTTTTCTACAAACTTACTTTGACACCTGAGGAGGAGAAAATTATTTTGTTGTTGCTGACTTTTCATGAAGTCCTCTCTCTCTTCTTTTTTATTACAAAAGGAAAAGGCAAGAAACCACAAAAGGAGGAAGAGCGTTTGCTCATGGCTATGGCAGGGTGGGGAGGGTTACTGTGGCCTGGACGACAGTGCTCTGCAGCTTGGAAGTGGGAAGCCCCAGGGCCAGGCTGTGCTCCAGGAGTCCAGTGCCCTCACTCAGGGCGAGCTGGCTGGGCTGATGGTGGGGCTGCTGGCATCGGAGCGGCTGTAGTCGCTGACTGAGCCGGTCCGAGAGCCCCCAGCGCGCCTCTGCAGCATGCCTGGGTGGAAGTTGGCGTGGCGGCGCGCGTGCTTAGTCAGGTGATCACTACGCATGAAGCGCTTCTCACAGATGGGGCAGCTGAACTTCTTCTCACCCGTGTGCGTGCGGAAGTGCCGGGCCAACTCATCGGATCTTGCAAATTTCTTGTTGCAGTCCTGCCAGGTGCAAGCGAAGGGCCTCTCACCTGTGGGCAAGACATGAGGCAGAACACTTGTCAGTCCAGGGCACTAGACTCTATCCTTCTCGTTGGGCAGGGCCCACCTCCAAGAAAGGATTTCTACTCAAACTGCAGACTGGTGCCCCTGACTCTCCCCCCCTCAGCCCCTCATTTCTCCCTTCTGCAGACCACACCCCCAGACGTATGATGTAAGGATTTCTGGATGGCCCAGGGCCAGAGCCCCTTGGAGCAGGCCTCCCATACTACTGTAAAGCATGCTGCTCACATGCCTGGGTAGGGCCAGGTGGCCCTCACAAGCTGTGCTGGCCTCTAAGAATGGCTGTGTGCTGGAATCCAGCCACCACAGGCTGGCCTGCCAAAGCCCGGGCGCTAGAGCTCAGAATCATGGCCGAGACTGGGTCCAGCCCAGAGGTTACACTGCCTGAAGAGTCTCTCAAAAGGGAAAGTTGTTGGAATTCGCACACTCCTCCAGCCCACCCACCTGAGCCTTTCCTGACCCTCTTCTTCATTTGTAAAAATGGAGATCAAGGCCTGAGATGAGAGACACTTAGAGTGGTCCTGGTTCCTTCCCCATATAGAACTGCAGGCCCTAAAGTTGATGGCCAGTTCCCGAGACGGGTTCATTTACCCTCAGCAGAGGAAACCCACATCAACCCTCAAAATACGCCCCTTCACCCTCAAATATGTACACAGATACCCAAGGAGGGCTGGTCTGACAGGAAGAACCAGCAGCATGAAAGGGAAAGGTCCCGATTGACCAACCAAGTGCAGGAAATAAACTCAAAGATATATCCTAGAATAATAGAAAAAAGAGAATTTCTACGAAATATTTGAACATTACAGTGTTTTCTGTGGTGGAGTGGATATTACATTTGCTATTCTTGTTACTTTATGTTTTGGGGGGAGTTTCAAAATTAGTAGGAGTAAAATTTAAAGCTATTGTTTTTGTGCCATTAAGTCAGAACTAAATCATAACTGCTGTCCAACAGGTTTTCTGAGCCTGTAAATCACAGGCAGGAGACTGCCCATGTTTCTAGTGTGGATTTGAAACACTCAGCTTTGGGTTGGCAGTGCAGCTCCTTACCCACTAGGCCAAAACTTAAGAGCTACAGGGAATTAATTCAGGAAGTTCAACACTGTAACATATAAAAGGTTGTACGTAAAGCAAGGGAATAGATTAAAATGTAGACCAAATATCATCCAAGAGAACATTATCTGTCAGAGTACCAATAAAAGAGAGAGAAGAGATCACATAGAAGGGGCTGGCAGTGTTGGATAAGTGACTAAAGATCTGGGTGATAATTTCTGCAATGTCAGCACGTTATATAAAATGAGAGATATCAACATTTAATAGAGAGACAAGAGAAAACAAATCACAGAACATCCAATAAGGAATAAGACTGGCACAGACAGATACTGCATTTAAGTCATCCTGGATTCACAAAGTCAAGAGAAAGGTCTCCCATCCCCACTCTCTTACTCCAGCTAAGATGAAAGAAAAGCAGAAGCAGTGAAGGGTGAGAGTGGTGTGAAGAGAGTTCAAGAGGACAGTAAGGCAGCACACCTGGGGTTAAGTGCAGCAAAGGTCATCGGCTCAGGGGAACAGCTCCTGGGAAAAGGGAATTCCAAGCAACAGATAATATGAACACAATGAAGAAGCAGTTTAGATTTCAGGACAAAGTGAAAGCACAGAATTATCTGGTCAGCAAGGTTGAGGAGAAGGGAAGGCAGCTAGAAGCTCTGGGTAAATGGTCAGCACAGAAGACAACAGTGTAAATTGGGAGTAAATGGAAATACATTGTCATGATGAGAGTTCTGGAAGCGAGCACTGTGTCAGGAGCTTTTTAATCTTCCCAAAACCCCCATAAGACAATCCAGAGGAAGGCCTTTTTTTAAAAAAAAAAATAAATAGCATGATTTAATTTAGTTGTTGCTTAATCCTGAATCCTCTTAAGTTAAAAAAAAAGTTGTAATTAACTCTTAACGTTAATGAATAAGAACCTTCCAGAAAGCATGAATCCAAAAGGAAATGTCCGACAGGCGATACAAGGCAGTTCTCTATGGCCTTTCCTCTTTCAGTCTCAAACATTCTAAACATCAATGGGGGAAAAAATTCTCTAGAATTTCTCAGTTTTATTCTTCTAGAGCACAATTTTGTGGCCTGCTACTGAGCATGGTCTTCTAACAGGTACACAATTAACTCGTAGGTAGATAGCACAATGGCAGTACTTGGTATCTGCCTGATGAGCTGGGCAAACAGTCCTCTATAGAAGGCAAGGTACCCTTCTTCTCGAAACACCAGGTGTGCCGTCTGGATGAAAGACTTGTACTTGGTGCCTTCTTCACAGAGCCGTGTCCTTATGACTTCGTGTGGATAGGCAATACAGGAGGTACATCCCTTAGAGATTGCAGCAGCTGCCATAAGTCCAAAAAAATTTGTGGAATTTTTCTCAGTCCCATTTGTAGAAGAGGCTAATGGAGACTCTTTCAGTTACTTCTTTAAACTTTCATAAATAGCAAAACAGATGATGGTTTCTGAGATCCCAGCATATGAGGCCGTTAATCCTCTATAGAAGCCACGGATGCCTTCTGTCTGGTAAACATAGCGAGCACAATGGAGTGTGTTCATCTGCTTGGAGCCTCTCACTTTCCGTTCTAGCTGCATCCGGGTTTTAACCATCCATATAGAATTCATTAAAGAATTTGTGATAAAAGCTGCAGAGCCAGTTGAGAAAATATGCACGATATTGCTATTAGGCACAAAAATGCCATTAAATTGCTCTTTGGCTTTGGAGTAACATGCAAAGTACACAGCCCTTGATGGTGCAACTCCAAACAAATTTGGACCCAAGCCTCTAAAAAGTGACTTTGGTCCCTCTTTCTCCAAAATGGACTTGAGAACTTGTAAAAGTCCAGGAGTCACGGATGTTGGTCTCACCATTCCAGCTCCATTAATGGTCCCCAGATGAACCTGAGGATAATAGACCGTACAAAGTGCCAGTCTTGAAGATTGCAACCTTGTCTTAATAACTTCTAGTGGACAAGTGAAAATAGCACCAACTGTGCCCCCCACACCCGCCGGCGAAGAGGTGGAGCAGCGTGTTCTCCTTCTGCTGAGAGCCCGTCGCCATGGCCGCGCTTGGCTCGGGGACCGCTGCCGACGGTCGCGGTCGCGTGGGGCTCGAGGGATGCGCGAGGTCGCCGGTTCGCTTGCCCGCTGCTCCTCAGGCAGCCCCTTGTCCTGCCGCCATGTGCGAGCAGGCCGACCCCTGGCTCCTCAGACCGCGCCTTCCCGCGTCTCGGCCGGCACCTCAGCAGCCTCTGGGGCGCGAGCCGGCTGCCAGCAGCACTCAACTCACGTGGCGGGGGCGAGGAAGGCCTTTTGAACATAGGGTTTGACTCTAAGAAGGAACAACAAATACTGCTGGCAGTCACCGGAAGATAGGAGAGCTACACAAAATGGATTTTCCCTGAGAGTCTCCAGAAAAGTGGATAGGAATAAGGAGGACTGACGAAGAACTGAAATCTTTTGAATTACAGTGGTGGTGCAGAATGTTGAATATACCATAGATTGCTATAAGTATGGACACTTAAACATCTGTCTTAAAAGATTTTCTACCACTGGAACCCTTATCCACAGTTGGTGGGAGTGTAAAATGGTGCAAAATGGTGTAAAATGGTGCACTGTGGAAGGCGGTATGGCGCTTTCTCAAAAAGTTGCAAATAGAGATACCGTTTGACCCAGCATTTCCACTACTGGGAATATATCCCAAAGAGACCATAACTGACATCCAAGCAGATATATGC